GAAATAAAGCTTTTAGAAATTGAGCTAGAAAGACTAAAACATCAAGAGAAAGCGACGGAAAAGACAACATCAATGCCATTCAAGGTCAAGCTTCAGGTATATGACCATGAACAAGGAGAAGATATTGTGACTTTTCTAGCCGAGTTTTTATCAATTGCAACTCATGTTAAGTAGTCTGACGAGTTGAAAGTATTACAGTTAAGAACTCTTTTGACAGGTGAGGCTAGATATGTTGCAACTAAAGTTTGTGGTGATTACCTGGAGCTCGGGAAAGGACTCATTGATCGCTTTGGAAAGCGACAGCACAAACATTTCACTGCGTTGGTGAGCATGAAGAAGGAAAGTACCGAGACGTATCGTAGTCTGATGGCCAGGATTGATCTGCACATAAAGCGTTTCTTGGATGATCGAGACCCAATTAATTGTCTTCGTGAGGAATTTTTCTTGAAAGACTTGACATAAGATCAAGCTCAGTGATTAGGAGGAACAAAGGCTCTAGTACAGTTGTAGAGGCTGCAGAAGATTATATTCCAACCAATGTACAACAGCAAGGGCAGAAAAAGTTTTGTGAAAAGATAAAGGTGAATGGTAACAAGATGCATATTCAAAAGTTAGAGCAGCAAGCGAAACTAATATCGATAAATGACCAATCCAAGCATAAGAATCGACAGTGTTATCGATGTAAGCAGTGGGGATATTTTGCAAGGTATTGTCCAACAGAGGACGTGAAACATCGCGTCAACCCATCAACTTGTTTTGTTAAGCCAACAATTGGTGAAAGGCTTATTTCAGAAACAGAATGTGTAAATGGGCGTGAGATCATGTTTGAGAAGGACACCGGCTCAAATATGACCTTGATAAGAGAAGATCTCGTTGACTAGAGTTGCAAGCTGGAAGGGCACAAAATTATATTATACACAGCAGTGGGTCAATCATTTACCGCACTGTTGGCTGTGGCAAATATCGACACTGCACATTGTAAGGGACCAGCGCAAGTGGGGCTTGTTGAGAATTTAGCCGCTGAAGCTTTATTGGGGATGGATATACTTGGCAAGAAGGGTTCATTTTTTGTTACGTGGTCGATGATAAAATGACTCGACGATGAGAGGATTGTGGAAAATACTGAAAAATGGGAGGATAACTATAGGAATGAAGTTGTCAAAAAAAGCATCGAGACAACAGATACTGATCAGCAGGATGACATTGAAGCTGACAAACTTTCAACAATGAATGAGGACATGTTGACGAAACTACAGACTCCGGATATTTCACTGCAAAGTATTCGAGAGAAGTCCTTTGCTAATTGAGAAAAGGCTTAGGAGGAGCCAATGGCATTTTCTGGGAGAACGATATTTTGAGTCGGAAATGGCAATCTGGTAATGGTTCGCATAGAAGGGAGCAAATTGTTGTACCAGCAGGATTACGAAAAATGGTAATGGAACTGGCACACGATCGACCCCTTGCAGGTCACTTAGGTTTGGAGAAAACAAAGGAGATGATTCTCCAATCGTTCTTTTGACCTGGAATGTTTTCAGATGAAAAAAGATATTGTACATGGTGTCATGAATGTCAGATGACAGCAAAAAGGGCTGCAGGTGGGAAAGCGTTAATGGTTTGCGCACGGGTGATAACAGAACCATTCTCAAAAATTGCAATGGATATTGTAGGACCTTTATCTAGAAAGACGTCTGGACGCAAATACATTCTCACGGTAGTTGATGATGCGACGAGATATCCCAAAGCTTTTCCTATATAGAATATGGAGGCAACTAGTGTAGTTAGAGCACTGATTGAGTTGTTTAACCGTGTTGGATTTCCAAAGGTCATCTTAACAAGCAAGGGGACCAACTTCACTAGCACTTTACTGAAACAGTTGTATGAACTGTTAGGTATACGTGGAGTTACAACAACGCCTTATCACCCGCAAGCGAATGGAAAGGTAGAACATTTTAATGTGACGTTGAAGTCAATGTTGCGAATGTTCTATCCAGACAACCGGAATGAGTGGGATGAGATGTTGCCATATTTGTTGTTTGCATACCGCGAAGTTCCACATGAGGAAACTGGAGATGTTGTATCGTTGGCCAGTTAGAGGGCCAATGCGAATTTTACAAGATTTGTTTACAGGATAGGAGGATGTAAGGAAGTCAACTGTTGAGCATGTTGTGAAAATGGCTGACATCGGGGCTCATGTAAAAGATAATCTGTTAGATCGCCAACAGAAAATAAAGGCACTGTATGATCGTCACACGAAAACAAGAGAATTTAGTCCAATGGATGAAGTCCTTATTCTCTTGCCATCAAGTTCCTCCAAGATGAAGGCACAATAGCAGGAACCGTATCGTGTTGTTCGAAAGGTGAATGATGTTAACTATCAGGTATCTGTACCCAGTAGGCGAGATACGGTAACCTATCATGTAAACTTACTGCATGGATACAAGCGTGCTGTGATGATGGCAATGCAGGGAGACGAGAACGATGGTGTTGAAATTGATTTTCCTCCAAGAGCATGTGACAGTGACGTTGGTGTTAAGCTTGTGGTACACTTATCAAGATATTAGAAATATCTGCAAAGAATTTCAGAATATTATAACAACAAGGTCTGGTCGAATAAACATCTTAACTCACAATATCAAGACAACTTTAGAAACACCAATCAAACAACGACCATATAGAATACCTTTCGCGCAAAGGTGAAAGCAATATTGGATGAAATACTGGAGCAAGGCCTCATTCGGCCCTCAATCAGTCCATGGAGTTCATCTTGTGTATTCGTTGACAAGAAAGATGGAACTCTTCGGCTTTGTGTAGATTACTCCGAGCTTAATTGTATCATTGTATTCGACGCGTATCCTGTCCCACGGATGGATGAACTATTTGAGAAGATTGGTTATGGAAGCTACTTGAGTAAGATAAATCTAACCAAGGGTTACTGGCAAGTTCCACTCGCTGAAGAATTGAAGCAAAAGTCTGCATTTGTGACTCTGTTCGGGCTCTATGAATTTAACGTATATGAAATTTATTTGGATACATACGGTAACAATTTGATGGATTTCCACTATTTTGAATGGTCACTGATGAAATTCAAGACTGTTACAGAACTGAATAGCAGTAACTCCAAGCTTTATGAATTTAGTAGTAATATAGGTTTGATGCAAATGTTATAATATTATTGATGTACCAAGCAGGCCAATTAATTTGTAAAAAGGAATATATCGAAAACAAAGTTTCCTCTTAAGAAGGGAGGTGCTATCAGTAGAATTTTACTCTCAATGCTTGTATAAAATTCTAACTGTTAGTAGTGACAGTTGGCCAGAACATTAATTCCAACATTCTGGATGTTTGATATCAGAGACTGTCAACAGGTTCCCTCCTGTTTGTTTATCTTTCCATGGCTAACTGAACCTGGACCAGTTTGTGTCCTGAAGAAGGCACAAATGTTAAATTAATCAAACTATCTTATCTCTCACCCATGCTAAAACAAGAACAGAGTGGGAGAGCAGGCAGTTTTATAATGGGCTTGGTACTGTAAGAAACACTGGTATTTTGGCTTTAGTTTCATTTTAAATAAAATTCGTAGGACCTTTACTTGGTGTTTGTGTGTCCTTTGAACCCGCGAATGTAACAATGTGAAAATCAAACCCATTGCACTGATTTAAAATATTAAATCATATACGATCTTAAAAAATATATTTTATATTTCCTCTGTTGATTTTAACAATGCGTGCTTAAATTTTACTAAGCATGAAGGTGTACATAATGGTGTTGTAAATGTAGATTATATATATATATATATATATATATATATATATATATATATATATATATATATATATATATATATATATATATATATATATATATATATATATATATATATATATACATCATTCCATTATCCAGAACAGCAAAGAAAATATTGTTATATATGAAAGTTGGTTTTAATATACCTAAAGGCTATATAACGCCATCAGAATATTAGAACACAAAATGTTGAATGATGTAAAACTGCCAATGTTATTAATAAAACATTTGTAAGTTTCTTTTATCTGTTTTACACTTTTTTCTGAAATTTGTCTCGTATTCGACAAAGATTTCAGTAGTAAGAAGGGACAATATTCAAAGTATTATGTGCAGATTGGATATTTAGTAATATATGAAAAAAACACGTAGTGATATCCAGAAGTAAGCTTAACTGGAATGATAAAAACCCTATGAAGAATTTCTCTCACATTCAGACAATATAATCTTTCTCCAACTAACGCATAACAGGGTGTGTGGAAAGTACGGGAAAGAGGTTAAAGGACTGCGCAGACACATACACAGAAGACATTTATAAACATGCAGGAATTATGACATGCCCATACATTAAAAACATGATGGATGGTAACCATTTTGTCTTTTAACACAAAGCCTTTTAAACAAACGGATGAGGGAAAGTGGAGTCGTGTTATTTTCATTAATACAGTTCGATTTACCAGGCCATATACAGAGGTAAGGCAAATGATCATATTTGATATCCAACATACCGTTACACATACTAGGAGGGAATTGATTTGGGTCTTTTTCATGCATATTTTCACTCATATACACAAGGAGACATAGATACAAATATAAGGAAGATGGCAACCAATAACTAATATTCTTTTCTAAAATAATAGCTTGGCCCTGAAACAGGTCCTTGGGTATTGGCAAACGTTGTTAATATAAGGCCTCTGTCTTCTGGTTTAAATAATTTACTTAGATATATGTATTACATGCATGTATTAATAATCTCTTTGCCAATAAAAAACACAAAAAACTCTTTACAATAGCGTCATCTTAAAAAGACAATGCATCTTTTAATTCTCTCCGCCTTAAACATTTTATCGCTCGAACCATATTCTAAGACTCGTTTAATACATCTTTTTGAGAAATACTGCTATGTCTGCTTTATGGTGCTTATCCCACTATCACGCTGTGTGAAACAATTTGTAAATAATTCCTGCATGTTTATAAATGTCTTCTGCTAACCGCTCCTAGTGGTTAGAGCCTCTGACTCGGATGCGGGAGGTCTTGGGTTCGATCCCCGATCGAGACATACCAAAGACTTACAAAAATGATACTAATAGCTTCCTCTCTTGGCGCTCAGCATTAAGAAGTTAGTGTTAGGAATGGTCGGCCTGGTGTCAGGATAATATGACTGTGTGGGACATCATGCATGAGGCCCCAGTGCTAGACATCACTATAAACTGCCATACTGCAGACGTTGTAGCGTTATGACTACAAAATTGTTAAGGCTACATTACAAATCATAATCACATCACAATCACATCTACGGATAGAAATTTATAATTCAAAATACATTGGTTAATATCAATACATGTTATATAATACTCTTTAGACCGGATAAAAGAAAATACCTGTCTGTGAATTAGCCATTACGTTAACTTCAAATTCTCGTTTGCTTTTTTTAATTATTTGCTGCGGGGCGAGAAACCTTGTTGTTTGCAATTAGCAGTGATGGACCGTTCTGCTATGGCTTGGAGGCCGGAAACCCAACATTGTAAAATCTCAGTGATACCATCGCAGACCGTTTTCAAAGTGTGTGTGAGCGTTATTTAGATATCATCAAAACATGTTGATGTGGAACATTTTCATTGGTACAGAAGCCTAATAAATTGCAATGTTTTTCTACCAACGGACTTTTAAAACTATGTATCACCTCATCATATCAACGGAAAACGCATATTTCCATTGTTCTGTATTCAGGCTGGAACTTTAAATCAAAATGGACACTGCTGTTAGGATGACAAATAATGCGTTGACAGAAGCATGGTTAACGGTGGATTTGTTCCTGTCAATTGGGCACGTTCAAAAGGTATTTGACCTACATATCCGGAAATGTTCATTCTCAGAAATATCGCTTGGGCAAGATTTGTGTACGTGGTAGAAGACAACAAGCAATATTTCAGCTGTGTCGTGAAACTTTACAAATATAAATATGATGATACACATCCTCCTCTTTTCCGTCTGTCTAAATAGGTCAGACACTTTTTTTCAGTCACTCTCATGCACTCATTCTCGGTGATTGCTCCAATTATTGTTGAACATATCATTCGACTATGAACTACATTGATTTCACCTACTCATTGCCTTACGTCGCCCAATCTGCTAAAGACAATCTACATCGGACACCAGTTTCTAATTTTACTCGACCACTTTGTCTTTTTCTTTTTTGGCTGCTGCCACTATGAGAACAGTTACACAACCTAATTAGAAAACAAATCGAATGGGTGTATTACAAATTTAATTGTGTCAAAACAAGAACTAACTCCACTTAGTCCATTAAAAACTTCTCCATTATCTTCTCGTATATTGTCGATAGAAAAGCTTGTAAGGAATCATGGCTGCCATAATTATCTTGCCAATATGTCATCAGCAAGGAAAACTGCAGAACAACGCATGCTCGGCGAGATCTTCTTCCAATGCTGATAGTATTGTTATTATGTAAGTTAGCTGTTATCATGTTAAGAGTGATAGTGGCTTTTCATTTATGTGGACAGCACAGTCACTCCCGATGCGCATTAATAATGTAACACTTGGAAGAGCTACACACCTTCATTTCATGCTATTGATCTCACCCATAAGTATGTTCAGCATATACTATACATTACAAACGTGTTACACCTACTTTACTCATCATTTAATAACCACCTTCACGCGATGTGCAACTTTGTTTTGTATTGATTCCTTTGGTCGATTTGAAGGCTACGCTACTGGTGTGTTGCATGTTAAAAATATTGCATTGAATTCTCATTTGTTATTTTTGCCTGTTCCGCTCCAGTTAAACAATAACCTCCAATCAGAAATCAGTGTAGCTTATTGTCTACGTGACAAACAGGAGGTATTGGTAGAAAGAGTCTTCGCGGGAAAGTTATTAGATATGTCAAATACTGAAGCTTAGATGCTGTCAGGATGTGCCATTGCGCTAATCGTGCAAACTTTGTACAAATTCGCGTGCTTGGAGAATAGCGACACGCCAAAACTCACGCAAATTCGTTGAAAGTCCCACATATGAAAATGTGCTAAGCGAAGTATATAATTTTTATCTGTTTTTCGGGTAGCAACTGTTCGACATCTGGGTTTTTCAAACAAGACATGAATGGTTGTGAAACAAATTTGAATGCAACAACGTGCCCAGAAAAAAGAATATGACGTAGTTTGATTCATTCATGAAGAATTTTACGAATGCGTGCTTAAAATACGGACTCCCTAGAAAAAAAATGTCATGTCTGGTTCCCGGAGTGGTTCATTACAATTTCCATCGGCAAATACTGGCTGATGATAGTGATGATGACAATAATTTTTAAAATAATAAAGTATATCAAATTATTGGAGGTGGGAAATTGTGTTAAATACGACTCACATGTACATGGTTGATGGACAAAAAATAGACGGTATGACCCTGTTAGCAGTATTTTGAAATTAAATATGCAAGGGGGCAGAATACTGAAACTAATTAAAAAACTGACAATTTATTATTGACAGCTGCGTCTTCAAACAAGTGCCAAATTGCGGATCCAAACATTAATGCCCGCAGGAGGCGAAATCAATTCATTAATGAGAGAGCGTGATCTATAACCTGTCAGGTATTCAGTATTGTAACTTCCATCATATCCATGTGTGCTGGCTCCAAAACAGAGTGATAGGCTTGAATGAGAGAAACTTGTCATTATTTTCCACAGAGTGAATTTCTAAATAAAATGTTAACCCCGAAATTTTAATAATCAAATCATGTGTTATAAAAAGTATCATCCCGGAATGTCTATGTTGGCGGGGATCAGTTTTAATTGAGGATTCAATGTGTACTAGATGCAGTAAACATATGTCTAGGTGTGAGTTTTGCAGGATTTGAATGCAAACATATGTACTCAAAGCGAATCATAAGCTATAAGCTAAAATATGTATCGAATGCTTGAGATGAAAATCAAAAATAAATTTATTAGTCCGATTTTCTTTACATTTTGTACAGTGAAATGTTTTCTCCGGTGCGTAAAACGGTGGTGTAGTGCTAAATAAAGAACTGCGGTAACGTAATAAAGAAGTGAGTGAACGCATGCTACTGGGGGTGGGGGGCAATGACGAGCGCAAGGGAAAAAAGAATGAGAAACCGTTTCCCACACGTTCTCATAGGATTACACCCTAGCTTAAAATTTCATCATGACTGTAGTTTTATGAACGTTCTCTTGTCAGAACAGAGACATGGAAAAACTTACAATCCTTTTTAAAGACAATTTGTCCACTGTAAATGCTTGATTTAAATGTGATCGGTATGATTCTAACTTTAAAAAGCGATGCAGACAAAAAAATTATTTAACATCATAAAATAGGAAATGGTTCTAGTATTTGGCATTTTTTTTACCGAATAAATCTAATATTATGCAAACGAAAATATGTGTGAAGGAGTGAAATATTGTGACAACTGGAAATTGAACTAAATGGCATGCTGTATATTCTTAAACTATTGTAGTAAAGCACGCAATCTGACTGGATCATTTTTTTCTCAATTATATCCAATCCGACAGCTGAGCTGTGGATACTGTTTTTCTAGTTGCATCTTCTATTGATTGATGCCGTTGCAAGGAGTGTGCACATAACTTGGTCTATGAAGATTCACTTTTCAATGCATCTGCTAGAAGTAAAAGAAACTGATTAAACTATTGAGATCTGGGAAAAGCTGATCAAATTTATTCCAAGAATGTCATCACATAGCTCAATAATCCATGTAATGCAGTTGTTCCTTTTACTAAGAGCCGTACATCTGCTTTATATAGAAACTCAAAATAGTTTCCATTCATGCAGACCATGCAGCGACCATCTGAAGGTAGGAACAATAATTACAAAATGTCTGGATGGTACTGAATTTTGCCAACCTATTTTGTTCCAACTTGGTTTCTACTGAATGTCGTATAATGACAGCCTTTACAGTAAGTTGACGATCATATAACCAAGGATGGCGTATGCTATTATTTTTAAGGGAGGGTTAATCTTTGGCCCTACTAACGTACTCTTACTATTTTGTTTTATTGGAATAACCCAGGACCTTACACGAAGTTAAGAACCTTCGAAAGACAAAGTAGCTTTATTTGATCAGCCAACATATGGTACTGAAATCCAAAATAGAATAATAATAATAATAATAATAATAATAATAATAATAATAATAATAATAATAATAATAATAATAATAATAATAATAATAATCATCATCATCATCATCATCATCATCATCATCATCATCATCATCATCATCATAATAATAATAATAATAATAATAATAATAATAATAATAATAATAATAATAGCATAGTTCATCAAAAGCATTTTCAAACGGGATACAATTTACAACAGGACGATTAAAGATGCAGCAACTTTTGGACGCTATATTTATAAGGATTTCCTTTATTTGTATTGCTTTGTACAGATCAGTAAACCAAGACATATTAAGCGTGACATTTTAATCCTCTCATGACTGTGATAATTGTTTTGATAGAAAGCGAAGAATTAAGTAGTATCATACAGGATTTCATATTTGTTCTTCATTTTCCTTATGCGTAAAATGTCATGCTTTGTGTTTGTGTCGTTTTGTGAGTGTTTGTAAGTAAAATAAAGTCTTACATTTAAAAACAGACATCTAACCTATTCGCAATTGTCATTGATATGGTATGTAATTGTATTCTCACCTAAATAATATAGGATAAAAAAGTTAACATTAATGCATTTAATAACCAGATCAGATCTCATAAAAATTATATATATATATATATATATATATATATATATATATATATATATATATATATATATATATATATATATAATGTTACTATATTTAAACTACTGTCCTTAAAAGGATTCCATTCTTTCGTCTCAGATGATTAATGCAGAGATGTGATTTTGACGCATTTTGTGAAATGGGATGGAACGAATTAATAACTCTGCAGTAAACCTATTGTGTAAACCGCGTAACCCTTTCCAATAAACTGTGTTCTCTCTACGCAAAGTTTCACAGTGTCAATGAGAGCTTCAGAAGCACCC